AGAGCTGTGCTTTGATTGCATTTTAATTTCTTTTCATTTTCATTTTGGGGGTCAAATGCCTCCTGAGGTCACCTGTGGCAGGCAGAGGGGACACCCAGCACCCAGCCTGGGGCTGTCTTGGTTTGACAAAGGGCAGGGATCACATGCAGGGACAATCAGAGGGGCAGACAAAGAGAGAAAGAGAATGAGCAGGGGCTCACCAGTCGCCTGTGACAGCACTGGAAGGTGCTTGTGCTCTCTGCCACCAAGGGTGACACAAAAAAACCTGTGCAGAACAGACCAGAGCAGGGAACAACGGGCTGGCTTTGTTCCTCTGCCCTGGTGGGGTGACTCCAGAGCTCAGGATCAAGTGGCAGCAATGCCAATCAATTCTGGCTCTTTTTGTAAAATTTATTAAAAAAAAAAAAAAGTGCAAAAGCAAAAACTCAAAAAAAAAAAAAAAGCTAAAAAACAACCCCAACAACCCACAAATCCATCCTCCAGCTTTCCAGAAGTCAGAAGTCCCCTCCCAGCTCAGCTTTCCTCCCTCCCCACCTGTGCTGGGCTCCAGGGAGGGCAGGATGGGTGCCCGGGGCAGGTTTTTACCCTGCAGGCTGCACAGAGCTGTTTGCTTTGCATTATTCACACTCCTCAAGCCTGGCAGATTGCTTCCCTCTGACCGTCCTCCACTGTAATTTTTTCAAGCTGAAGAAGTGTCTGTTCTGGATCTTCATCTGAAATGGCAATTGACTCTGAATCTTTTTTGGAAGGCCCAGAAAGGAATGAAAGGCTTCCAAGCATCTTGGTGCTGTCTGGTGTCTGGAAGTGGCTCCTCTCACGGGGGAGCAAAGAGAAGAAGCAGATCTGGGTGAGTAATTTAATCTGCAGCAGGTAATTTACTGTGAGGCAGCACCTCAGCCCTCGAAGCTTTTGGTTCCCAGCACAAAACATCCCTGACCTGGCTCTCCTCTGCCCTCAGCTGTGCTTCAGATAACTCTGGGAAGGAGAAACCTCCCCAAGGAGCAAATCCCTGAGTCTGGAAAGCCAATACTTCCTCTGCTCAAACGAGGCCCAGGAGGCTGGGGCAGGGCGTGGATCCTCCCTTGGTGTGGAGAGGGCTTTCATCACCTCAGGTAAAATTAGCACCACACGAATTACCCCGGGCCAAGCACACAGCTGGGGGAAGTGCAGATGTTTCAGAGGGGTGAGACCGGAGCTGGCACTGGCAGGGATCAACCCTTTTGACCAGTGTGAGGAAAGGGATGGAGCTGCTTCAGATGGATTCACATGTGACACCTCCCTGCTGGAGCTGCTGACCCCAGCTCCTGAGGATTGCTATCACCAGAGCTTTTCCAAACCATTCTCCCACTTTTTTGGTCCGTAGCAAAGGAATTCTGTGGGTTTGGGATTTCTGTACTAGCAGGGTTTGCTGGAGGGTGTTGTGTGGGATTGCAAAGAAGCACATCTGACTGCTTTACCTGGGACTTCTCCAAAAAGAAGGATAAAATGGGATGAAAGACAAAAACCACCTTCCAACAGAGTGATTCCCTGTGGAAAAAGAGAGAAAATTTTAATCAGCGCAGTGAGTAATTGCAGGAACTGCCATAAAACACTTCCCAAATTTCATCTCCCACTTCACATCCTACCACAGGTCACTCTGAAAAGCCTCCCATGGAATTGGTGAGGTCACATTTACTTCCCATGAGTAAGGGCAGGGAAGGTTTCCCCTTGCAGACACTCCCTGGGCTCTTTCTGATTTCCACTTGGAGATCTGAAAGCGTGGATGCATAATTCCTATTTTTCCTGCCCCACTCAGAGTATGGCTACCCCAAGGAGGCATTTACCAGCCAAAATTCCTGCTGGAAACACCCAGCACAGCCACTCCACCGAGCCCCAAAGCAGAGCAGTGGAACTGGGGGTGCTCAGCCTGGAGAAAAGGAGACCCAGGGCTGCCCTCCTCACTCTGCACAGCTCCTGAAAGGTGCCTGTGCTCAGCTGGGCTGGGCTCTGTCTCCAGCAGCACTGACACAGCCAGAGCACACAGCCTGCAGCTGCACCAAGGGAAATACAGGCTGGATAGCAGGAAAAAGTGTTTTACAGCAAGGGGGATAAAGTTCTGGAATGGCTGCCTGGGGAGGTGGTGCAGTCACCATCCCTGGGTGTGTTTAACAAAGCCTGGATGTGGCACTGGGGGCCAGGGTTTGGTTGAGGGGTTGGGGCTGGGTTGGACTCAATGGTCTTGAAGGTCTCTTCCAACCTGGTGGTTCTGTGAATTCTGTGATTCCGTGACTCTATGAATTCTGTGATTCTGTGACTCTGAATTTTGTGATTCTGTATTTCTGTGATTCTGTGATTTCTGTGAATTCTGTAATTCTGTGATTCTATGATTCTGTGATTCTGTGATTCTGTGATTCTGTGATTCTGTGATTCTATGATTCTGTGATTCTGTGATTCTATGATTCTGTGACTCTATTGTGATTCTGTGACTATGAATTCTATGATTCTGTGATTCTGTGACTCTGTGAATCCTGTGATTCTGTAAATTTTACAATTCTGTGATTCTGCGGCTGGGGAGGCTCTGGGGCAGCCTCCTCCCTGCTGCTGCTCTGCACCACGGTCACACAGAGGCCACCAGCTCCTTTTGGCACCTGGGCCAAGCTGGGATCGTGACAGACCAAAAATAGTCCCTCCTCCCCTGTCAGGCGAGGCGGGGAGACACCCTGTGATCAAAGATGGGGAAGCACGAGGAACGAAAGCACTGCCCAGTAGTCGCAGCAGAGCAGCTGCCTGACACTTGTGGAGCTTCCTAGAGCCCGGAGAAAGGATGTGAAGGAGGAGGAGGAGGATGATATGGAGGGCTCAGCAGATGTTTCATTGGAGCTGCTCCCGTGCGTGAGAGAACGCACGGAACCGCTCCACGGAAAATGTGCATCCAGAAGTGGACATGGCACTGGAGATGAGATAATTATTAAGGCATTTCTATTCTGGAGCTTTTCTGTGAGGAGTTTTACACGATAATAAATGTTAGCCTTGCCTTTCTACACGCACACACGTTCCCTGGCTCTTGGTCACTGATATGTCCCCAAGTCTGTCCCTTTGGCCACAAATAGCTCATTGCCCTATTTGAAAGGTTCCTGGTGGAGTGCAGCCAGGTTTGCCCGGCTATATTTACCTAAGCTGGCAAATTGGGCCAGGGCCCTCCCAGCTCTGCTGCTATATATAAAGGGGAATGATACAAAATAAAGCAGCAAACACCCGCTCAGTTCTAAACCAAAATGTGTTCTGTGCTGACTGACGGTGCTGAATCTGAGAGCTGTGCCCAGGTTTCCTGGGGATGATCAGGAAATACTGGGAATACTGGGAATTCACTGGCAACAGGTTGCCAGGTTATAACCCCGCTGTTTTTGGGGTGACGCTGGGGACGGGCGGGGGTCGTGTCCGGGAGGTGCAGGACGGACCCCGAGGGGCGGCAGGAGCCGAGGGCAGGCGGCGGGGGCTGCGCGGGGCGCGTCCCGGTGCCGCTGTCGCCGCTGTCCCGAGGATGCTCCGGGACCGCTCGGGCCCGCCGCAGCTCCGGGCGCTGCCGCCAGGTGGCGGCCGAGGGACCGGGATCGGGATCGGGATTGGGACTGGGATCGGGAATGGGACCGGGATCGGGATCGGGATCGGGATCGGGATCGGGATCGGGAACGGGATTGGGATGGGATAGGGATCAGGATCGGGATCAGGATTGGGACTGGGATCGGGAATGGGACCGGGATCGGGATCGGGATCGGGATCGGGATCGGGATCAGGATCGGGATCGGGATCGGGATCGGGAACGGGAACGGGATTGGGATGGGATCGGGAACGGGATTGGGATGGGATCGGGATCAGGATCGGGATCAGGATTGGGACTGGGATCGGGAATGGGACCGGGATCAGGATCGGGACCGGGATCAGGACCAGGATGGGGACTGGGATCGGGATCGGGATCGGGACAGAGATCAGGATCAGAATCGGGATCGGGATGGGGACTGGGATCGAGATCAGCACTGGGATCAGGATCGCATTGATCTGGATCAGATTGATTGGGATCAGCACTGGGATCAGCATCAGGATCAGGACCAGGATCGAGATCAGGATAGGGATCGGGATCAGCACTGGGATTTGGATCTGATTGATCAGGATCAGGATAGGGATCAAGATCAGCACCGGGATCGGGATCAGGATCAGCATGGGATTTGGGATTAGCACTAGGACCAGGATCAGGATCAACACTGGGACGGGAACTGGGATAGGGATTGGATTAATTGGGATCGGAATCAGGAGAGGGATAGGGATGAGGAACGGGATCAGGATTGTGATTGGGATGGGGATCAGGATCGGGACAGGGACAGGATTGGTATCTGGAACAGGGATCGGGATCAGGAACAGGATTGGGATTGGGGCTAGTCCAGACTCTAAAGGGGCATGGCAAAAAATAGGGAGAGTTGCTTGTAACATGGGAAGACAGCGGCAGGAAAAGGGGTGAAGGTTTAAAACTGAAAGAGGGGAGATTTAGATGAGATATTTGGGAGAAACTTCCCCATGAGCTGCAGCTGCGCCATCCCTGGAAGTGCCCAAGGCCAGGCTGGAGCAGCCTCGTCTGGGGAAGGTGTCCCTGCCCATGGCAGGGGTGGCCCTGGATGAGCCTTGAGCTCCCTTCCATCCCCTCCAAACCATTCCATGAGTCCATGACACACGTGGGAGGGAAATCCCTGTGCATTTTTGACAGCCCAAGGTGACTTTGTGTTGCTTGGCCTGAAGAGAACATTGAGAGGTGTTGACATCAGGGTTCCAAACCCTCCTGGCTTTCAGGGAGCAGCATCAGCCCAAACCAAAACTGCCCAACCTCACACTGCCATTGCTTGGTGTCCATCCCCAGCAGCTCCTCAGCCACCAGCACTGACCTCACAAAAACCTGGAAATCCTGGGAACAGCTCCTGTGCTGGGATTTTTAAACCCCGTGACCCAATGATGCCTTGAGAAGGCTGAGGCTGAACCTGAGGCATCAAAAACACTGATCCACATTTTTCAGCCCAGATGAAAACTTTCAACTTCTTGTTTCAGCCTGGTTCTGCCACACTTCCCCTTTTCTGCCTGGAAGTGACTCTGTTGTCAGATGCTTCTTCCTTTTCCCTGCTTTGGGCCTCTCCTGCCCACCACAGCCACCAACTTCTTCTGTTTGCAGGTTCCCAGTTCCAACCAGCAAAGATTTAAGAACCAAAAAAAGCTTACAAGCAATTTTTTTTTTCTCCTACACAATATTTCTGATGCCCTGAAAGGTACCTGCTATTTCCTGAAGTGAGCTCAGACCTCCTGCACAGCCTGTGAGAAACAAGGGATAAACAAGGGGATAATACCCTGTCCCACATCTGAAACCCAACTTCACAAAAACTATGCACTAAATGACACATGATAACGGGGAAGGAGATGCCAGCTGCCCTAATGAATGGTGGTGAGCAAGGCTGGAAAAATAAATGATATAATAATCTCTTATTATACCCCCTTTGACATAAATGAATCTTGACCCGGAACAACGGTGCTGCTTTCCAAGGGAAAATAACCAGGGTGAAGTTTTAATCATGAGTCAGGAGGCCAGTGCAGGGTGGTTTGTTAGAATTTTGCTTCAGCTGGTAAATTTTGTGGAAAATCGGGGATGGGGTGAGCAACTTTCACACAGAAATTCCAATCCCTGCCTCTTAGTGGTGGCTGGGAAGGAGCTGCTGAACCTCAGCTTCAGGAATTGCCTTTTGGAAGCCCCAAGGAGATGTTCAAGGCTCTGGAAGAGCAGGAAAGTCCTGTTGTTTTACCATGGAACAGCCCAAAATATATCCATGTTGTTCCCTTTGGGCTGGTAGGAGCTTTCCTCCAATTAATTGGGAATGACTGGAGGCTCAGGTCTGTGTTCCTGCTGGGGGATGCACGTGTTGTTCCTTTGATTGGGTTTTTGGGAGTCTTGTTTGCTTTTTTGTTGTTAGCCCTACAGTGGGCATGGAAAAAAATCCCTGGGAAATCCTCATTTGAGAAAGGGCAGATGGGGGAAGAAGAGCCTCCCCCCCATTTATCTTATTTATCTATTTATCCTATTTTTCCATTGTTTCCAGTGTCCTGCAGGAACCATTCCTAGGGAGGAAGGATTAAGAACTGGCTCTACCAGAACACAGAGCCCACCTAAAAATAAACCTGGAAAGGAGAAGCTTCCAGGGAAACCTCAGAGCCCCTTCAAGGGACTAAAGGAGCTCCAGGAAAACTAGAGAGGGATTTGGGACCAGGGAAAGAGGGACAGGACACAGGGAATGGCTTCCACTGCCAGAGGGCGGGGAGGAATTAGGAAAAAATTATTCCCTGTGAAGGGGGTGAGGTCCTGGCACAGGTTGCCCAGAAAAACTGGATATGGAAGCTTAAAACTTGCAGCTGAAGAGAAGAAAAGCCCAATGTGCTCTCACAAGGTGTGTGGCAGAGGAATGTTCTTTACTTTGATGTCTTTATTCATAAAAAAGAAAAAGGAAGAACTGCATGCGTTGCTATTCATCATTATTATACATAGTGTTGATACTGGGATAAATGAAATTAAAGTAACAAACAGAAGAAAAAGGCAGGCTGGTTGAGAGCAGTGGCTCCCCAGCATCCTGTCTCCAGCACGGGCTGGGATCAGAGGCTGGAGATAAAAGTAGAAGAAGATATAAAGTGGGTTTTTTAAAATTAACATGCCTGGGAGAGAAGTTTCTTCCTGACCCTCATCCTGACCCAGGCACACCTTACCAGCCATACTCATGTATTTGTATTTATTATTTGTATCTCTCTGTGCCAAAACACGCAGCACAAATCCCTAAATCAGACTCCTGGTGTTTCACTTCCAGCAAAGCCACTCCAAGGGAAGATTTTTTTCCCAGAGGCTCACAGGGAAGAGAATTTGGGGAGGGGAAGGCAGCTGAGCTCCCCAGCTGCACAGGGGGAGCTGCTCTGGCACCTTGGGAAGGAATGTGGGCATTTTGGTCACTTATCTCAGTAGTATCTCACCCCTCTGAGTCCCTTTACTCTGTGATGCAGCAAACACCTTTGGTTGAGCTCTTGCAGAGCCAGCAGTGCAGCTGTGTCCACGTGGAACAATCCCTGTGGGCGGAAATCACGGGATCACAGAGCAGAAGGCTTGGGAAGTTCCAGGCTGGCCCTTCTGTCTCACCCCTGACTCTGCTTCCTCCTCCACCGGTTTCCCAGAGCCACCACAGAGGTTACAAACCCTCACCTCTGTCTCACTCACCCTTGTTAAGTGTTTCCTAATTATTTTCCCTCCCTTTTCCCCCAGTTTGATCCCATCTTTTCCTGTCCCATCCTCTCCCAGCCCCAGATTTCACCCCCTCCAAAAGCAATTTCTGTGTTTGAGAGCTCCTTGCCTCCCAATCCCTTTTAGGACAGAAACACCATGAGCCATTTCCTTCCTTCCTCACTGACAGCTCTTCCACATCTCCCAATTGCTCCTCGTCTTTCTCAAAAAGGGGTGCCCAGCATTAAATAAAAGCATCCCAGGCAGGATCTGAGGGGAGTTTAAGGGTTAATTCCCATGTCTGGAAGGTGATATTCTATTTTATCCAATCCCAGTGGTGTTTTTTCCAACACCACAGAAAGTACTGAGACCCTTCCACATTTTCCTACATTTTCCTACATTCCTTTCCATTTTTTCTAGACTATTTCCCCCATGTCTGCCAGTGTTTAAATCCAGGATACAAGAAGATGGTTTTTACTGCGCTTATAAGTGGTTGCTGCTGATGAATCAGCACATAAAATAGGCTAATTAATGAGTTTTGGAATAACTAACGCCCTCCAGGCTTCAGTTTTACCTAAAGGGATCATGTTTATCCAGAGACAAGTGCTAGCAAAAGAGAAATACATGAAAATAATCCAGCAATCCTACTACTACATGGAGTAAATTGCAGGGGAAAAAAAAACCCAAAACACTTAGCAGGCTATTTTTTTCTTCATTAAACGTGATGAGCTCATAAAAACCCAATTAATTAGTCAGAATGATGTGAATGACTCGTCAGACCTAATTTTAGCAGCCTAAAGTTAGCCAGCATTTCCACAGCAGTCGTTTCATCTCCTTCAGCAATAAATGGAGAGGGATGAACACTTCCAGGAAAAACTCATCCTGCTGCCCTCAGCTCCCCAAAAACCTGAAGAAGGTGGAGTGAACTCCTCTGTGGAGACAGAAGAGCTCCAGTAACCAGAGAGAGCAGGCAAACACTGAATTTCTTGGCTGCTATGGGCAGGTGAGATCAACCCCACAAACTCCAATATGATTATTTTATGTTTGCAGGATAATTAAACGCAATGCAAATGAGCTGCAATCATCAGGGGCAAAAGCATGATGAGGCATTGCTCACTAGATAATTACAGAGATGTGCAGAGCAGGAACTTCCACGTCACAGACACCTTCAGAACCTTTTCCTTTTTTTCCTAGTTTGAGCCAACAGAGGAGTTGTTGGATTCCTCCGTGAAGGATCATTTTTACACAGCCATCTGAGACAAGCATTTTTCATTTTGACAGAATTACCCTGTTTGTTCTCCAGATTGATCTTTGTCTTTGAAAGGAAGTGCAACACGCTAAAAAGAAAAGCAAAATGAAATGAAAGAGGATTTGATACAAAATATTGCACAGCTCACTCCAGACATGATCTTCTCCTCAAGGCTCAACCTGAATTTGCTGATTTAAAACTGGAGGTTTGTTTTGATTTTTTTTTTGACCTCCTGCATCCCTCCAGCTGGTGAGGGAGCGGCACCTCAGGGAATGGCTCATGATTAGGGAATGAAAGCTCTCCAGGATCCCACTGTGGATCCCACAGGACTGGGCAGGGTGAGAACACGTGTCCAAAGCCACCCAGGAACACTGGGGTCAGTTATTCCCTTGTCTTACAAAGAACAGCCCCGCAGATTCCACAGAGGAGCTCTGGGATGAGGCTGCACCTGAGGAATCATTTGTTGGGATAATGGAACTTCAGAGCCTCCTGGAGGGACTGGGAATGGCCTTTCCAAACCAGTGAAGCAGCTTTGAAACCTCTACCCCGAGGGCCCAGGGCATGGTTTGTGTGCCCTGCCAAGGTCATTCTGTGTCCCTGGGCATGACCAACCCTGGTCCCTGCAGGGAAAGAAAGTTCACACAGGGTTTGCTCAAGGGGCTCTCTGGGCATCCCAAGTGGAAGCTGCTCCCTTGTGCCCACAGCTGCCCCTGGCAGCCCAGCAGGGTGTGGCAGGGTGTGACAGTGTGTGACAGCGTGGGCACGCTGTCAGCGAGGTCTGGGATATAAATACTGCTGCACATGAGTTCATTGTTTGCATCCAAGGAGCTACGAGGGGACAGTTTTTAGGGAGGGGTTTCAACGGCAGGAACAGTCAGATTTGGGACTCTATGGAGAGCCTGCTCAAGGTCACAGCTGCTTTCCTGTAGGAAACCTCTCCAGGAGGCTGGCTGGGAGCTGTCACCGGCTCTTCAGGGTCCTCACAACTGCTGACAAGGGCAACAGCGCTGAGGGACTTTTGGTTGTACTTGATTTCCAGGGCTGACTTCTCCGCTTGTTTCTCCCGCGCCTTCTCGGCGCGGTTCCACTCCTGCTCCTTCTGCTCCAGCTGCATGGCGCTGCAGTGAGGGGCGTACACCTCCGTGGTCTCCTCAAACTGCAAGCAGTCCACCTTGTAGTACTTCTTCTTGACGTGCAGCACATCGTTGAACCTGTGGCCCCACAGGATCTCTCTGGGGACGTAGGAGCTGCGCGACTGGTGGGAGGTCCCCGTGGAGTCACCCGTGTAGACGAACGTCACCAAGATCTCAAAGTTGTCCTTGGCCAGAGCTTTGCGGTCCAGGCCGTACAAGGGGCTGTCGCTGTCGATCTCGTGGACGACGGTGACTGGTGTGACCAGGATGATCTGGTCGTTGAGCAGCTTTAGGTCGCGGTACTCCATGGTCATCCTGCCCTCCTTGTCCTCCTTGTAGCGCAGCAGCTGCGCGCGCACCGAGCCCTCCACCATGTGGTTGGGCCGGAAGTCCCCGATGCGCCACATCAGGCAGAATTTGTCATCCCTCAGCCCAACCACGGCGTAGTAGCTGAAACGGATGGTCTGGGCCCTCTTGCGGGCTGTGGCCATCTTGGCCAAGGCCGCTCCGATGATGAAGGTGTCGATGATGCAGCTCAGCACCGACTGCAGGATCACCATGAGGATGGCGAGCGAGCACTCCTCGGTCACGCAGCGGTACCCGTAGCCGATGGTGGTCTGGGTCTCCAGGGAGAACAGGAAGGCTCCCGTGAAGCTGTGCACGTTTGCCACGCAGGGGGTGACCTCCTCGTCGCTGAACAGGTCCCCGTGCTGGACAGCAATCAGCCAGAAGACCAGGCCGAAGAACAGCCACGAGAGCACGTAGGACAGGGAGAAAATCACAAACATGTGGCGCCACTTGATGTCCACCAGCGTGGTGAAAATGTCCACCACGTAGCTCTCCCACTCCCCGAAGATGTGCTTGAAGTAGACGTTGCAGCTGCCATCCTTGTGGAGAAATCTCTTCTGCAGCCTTTTCACCTCCTTTTCCGGGCTTTCCCGACAGGTCCCGCGGTAACTGACCTTGTTTCCCTGGATATTTACAGGCCTGTAGCAGCCACTTTGGTCATTCATCTTCGTCATCTCTGCCTCAGCTTACAGAAGGTCCCAGGAGTTGTTTTCCTTGTTCATTGGAAATCTATGAAATAAAGGAAAAATCTGTTTTTATTTGGATTTCCAAATCTGATCCCATTTACTCTGTGGCCATCATGGGTAATTTTTGGAAGGGTACAGGCTATGACATCCATTACATAACATTGCTCAAAACCAGGACTGGAAAGGTATAAATTCAACCAGAAATGTCCTATTCAACCCTAAAATTTGGTCTGTAGATAAAAAGACCTTTGTGGTAACCCTATTGTGAGTAACTCCTTTAATGATCATGAAGCAACATTAAAAGCAGGATGAGCTCCCCTGAGCAGTCACAAATGGCACAAACCACTTAAATTTGGCCTAATATTGGAGGAAATTAATTGCTTTTCTCAATTTTCCTTGTTTTCCCCATTAGGAAAAAAAAAAAAAAAAAGGGAAACCCCCCCTTATTTAGAGGTAAAATTTCAGTCACATGGCCAGGGAAATTCTGTGTTTTAACCAAAAAATGTATCAAGCACAAGATCATCCATCATTATTTATGTTCCAGCATTGCCCAGAAAAACCTGCTCTTGTGAACTGAACTTGACTGAGCTGGTGCTACAGAGACATGTTTGTTCAATTTGCAGAAAATTATTTACATTTCAAATTAAAAAAGAAACCCCTCTGAGGTCCTGGAAAGCCTCTGAAATCCTTCCTTAAAGCAAACAAAAAAATATCCGGCTGCCAAAAATATTTAAATCTTGATTAATGAGTTTGAAACAAACAGGGAGTGTGTTAATGGAAGTTGTGGGTGACACAAATTTAGGAAGTGATGTGGATTAGGAGATTCCTCTGTCAGAGCAGAGAAGAACTGAGCAGTGCCAGTCCCGGGCCATATTTAGTGACCAAGAACAAGAATTACGTTAGAAATTGAGACCTCATCACCTGGAATCCAATTAAAAACATGTCATTTAAAAAGGCAAATCCTTTTCCTGCAGGTCCCCAGCTCATTTCATGACATCCCAGCCATTAACACACAAACCAGCCGGAAGTGATGGGGACACAGCAGAAAAATTCCAATTTTTTGCTGATTTTATGCTTCTAACTGATATTCCTGAAGGAAAAAAAAAAAAAAAAAAAAAGAAAAACCAAACCTCATATTTTTTTGCAGGAAACCTGTCATTATTCTTCCAGAAACTGCAAGTTTTTGATGGAAAAATGACAAGCTCTTTTCCCATCTTTAAGCTGGTTTCATAGTTCGGAGGTAGGTTTTCAGTGGAGCCAAGAAATCCATGGAAAATGAATTTAAGAAAAGCAAATTTCAGAAAAACCAACTTTCCTAGGGGAATTCTTTTCCTCAGGTCTTCACTCCCTTTGCCTGAGCAGAAATGACTGCACACACTTCCAGGCAGAGGAGAGTCAGCCCCACGGAGTGTAAAATATATTGGATGGACTGGATTAACAGCCCAAGAACTCTCCCCTCATCCAAGGAACAATGACAAGCATGCAGAGACATTCATCCAAAAACACTTAAAAGCCAAACATAGTTTCCATTTCTTTTTTTTCACTTTTTTTTCCCTTTTTTTTTTTTTCCAGTCCAGAAATGAATGTGACATATGGTGTCGTAGCCTCAGAATGTGGCCTTCATTAAAAAACACAACATTAATGTTTCCAAAAATACTTCTTGGAATAGGGTCTTTGGAAACATTCATATGACTTGCTTTGCTCAGAGTTTTAAACAAACAGTGCAGCCTGCTCTATTGAAGACGCTTGACCCAACATTTTCAAAGTTGTATTTAACAACAAACGAAACGTGGAAACTGTTGAGAGTTGGTTTTTGGTGGTTTTTTTTTAAGGACCTCATAATGTGAGGTGTGAAAATGAAGCAAACTGTAATCAGGAGCCAATATGACCTTAAATAAAAACATTTGTAGGGCTTTGTGTTGAAGGGCACCTCTGACCTCTGCCCTCTGATGGGACCCAGGGAATGGTGGAGCTGGGTCAGGGGAGATTTTTGTTGGCTTTTGGGAAAGGTTCTTCCCCCAGAGACTGCTGGGCACTGCCCAGGCTCCCCAGGGATGGGCACAACTCTGAGGCTGCCAGAGCTCTAGGAATGTTTGGACAGTGCTCCCAGGGTTGCCCAGGGTGGGATTTTGGGGTGTCAGGGCCACGAGCTGGGCTGAATGATCCTTCAGCCCTCCCAACTCAATGTCCCATGATTCTACTGCTTTTCCAATTGACTGGTTCAAACCAGAGCAATCCTTGAAAATATTATCCTTGAAAAAGATAATAGCCCCAATATTATCCTTGAAAATACTCCCAAGCACCCCAGGACTCTAAAAGGGACTCAACTTTATGAGTCAAAAGCTCCTGAGTAGATCCCACTCTCTGCTGTCACCATCAGAAAATCTTCACATTTCCAAAACTGTGTTTCACTGGCACCACCTTTGGATTTTGGTGGGAAGAACCTTGGATGGTGACACACACAACAATGGGGTAAAGGCCACTCTGATTTTCTGGTCATCTGCCACAACCAGGAGACAACTTTGACATGGAGGTGACTTGTTTGAGGAACTCTGACTCTACACAGGGTTTCTCCTCAGTACAAGCTGTATTTATAGCAATACTCCAGTGGATGTCTGTGACGGGTTTTTGGCTGGTATAGGAAGCCATGGAGCAGGTTGGGATTTCCCAGAACAATCCAAAGTAAGTCTGCAATAAGAAAGGGAAAGTGATGCAGAGCTCCCTAAACCAAACCCAAAATTCCAGCCCAGGAACTGAATGGCGCAAAAAAAGAACAAGTGCAGAGCAGGGCTACCAGACAAGGACTGCTCCCAGGACCTGAGCTAAGCTTTCCTGGTTTTGTTAAAGCTGGGATTTCTCAGAGGCATTTGGCATTGCACAGTGGGGACTGCCCCAGGTCACCTAAAACCCCAAACTGCACCATGGAGACTGCCCCAGGTGACCCAAACCCTCAAATACCACAGTGGGCATTGCCCCAGGTCATCCAAAACCCCACATCACACAGTGGACACTGCCCCAGGTGACCCAAAACCCCAAATTACACGGTGGAGATTGTCCCAGGTGACCCAAAACCCCAAATTACACGGTGGAGACTGCCCCAGGTGACCCAAAACCCCAAATTACACAATGGACATTGTCCCAGGTGACCCAAAATCCCAAATTACACAATGGACACTGTCCCAGGTGACCCAAAATCCCAATTTACATGGTGGAGACTGCCCCAAGTGACCTTAAATCTCTGGAAAGAACCTCCTCAGCCACTCCAAAGCATCAAAAAATGTTACCCAGTATTCTGGGTGTGATTAAACATAATCCAAACCCGCACTTTTCAAGGCCACCTCTTCAAGTCTCTCGAGTGCAATAATAACAACCATAATAACTAACAATCATGCACCATAATTAATAACTCTCTGACATTGATGTTGCTTGGAACATTCAGGTCCAGGCCCACCTTTCGGCGTTCCTGGATTATGTCAGTCAGTTTTAGGATCTGTCCCTTGTTCCGGGGGACACCATGGAGCAGACACGTGATTTCCCTGTTCCAGACCAGCCCAGGGAGTTTGGGACCCCAGCTCTTCCTCCCTCCCTCTGCTGAGGCACTCTGACTTCTGCAGAACACTCAGCAGAATCTGATTATTACCAAATTATTACCAAGGGCCACAGAGCCCCAAGCAGACTGATGACCTTCAACCTCAGAGTAATTTCAAAAGCCTGATTTTCCAAACTGGAAATATTTGTCACATCCCTAAGAAAGCCCCACGATTCCATGAGAGGGCCTGTTACCTGGTAAAGATTAACAAAGGGGGTGGGGGAGGATTTAAAAACATTCTCTACTCACTAAAGCTCAGGGATCTGTTGTTGCAAATGACTCTCAGATGTTGCCAGGAAGCGTTTTCACCTTCCTCTAACACTGACACATAAACCCTCCCCCTTTTCTGTCTTGCTTTTACTTTCTGTGGGTTTTTTCCTGGATTTCTGGGCATGTTTGCGCACATCATGAGCCTCCCCTTGCATTGCAGCACAGCTGAAGTTTTTTTTGCTCTCTGTTCTTATAAATGTATTTCCCCCTTCAAATTAAAGCTTGTCAGAGGCAAAAATAAAGCAGCCAAGCCAGGCAGGGTGGTAGGAAGGCAGAAAAAGAGAAATCTCAAAAGATTTCTTTAGGGTAAATGGCAGAGAGTTGTTCTAGAGAATAAATGTATCAGAGTTCTGAAACCAGAATAATTGCTAATTATCTAAACCAAGGGCAGGATTTTACTGTGCTGGATCCTGAAATGCTCAGGGAGATACAGAAGTGCTCCACAGATCTGTGTTCAGGGGCCTCCACACTGAACCCCCAAACAGGTATTCTTAAAAAATTTCACCCCAGCCAGATATGGGAGGAAATTCCTGTATTTCAAAGGTCATAAAGGAGTGCAGTGGCAGAACCAGGAACAAACCCAGCACCTACTTTCACCCATTGAAGAGCTGCCACAAAGCAAACACCAGCAGGAGCAGATTTTATCACATTTCTATTTTCATGTAGTTCCTCTTGAGCAGAGCAGCTGTGCCAGAACAACTCCAACTCCTGATTGTCAGCTCGCTCAGAACAGTCACTCCAAAGCCTCGAGCATCAAGCTGAGCCTTTCAAAGACTTTCAGTGGATGTAATTGTCAATTTAATCCCGATATTTGGAGTTCAGGGCTCAGTGTTTTGTGAGGATAATCCCTCTTGCACCGTAACCTAATACCTAACAAATTGCTGCTACACCCCTTTTATGACTCCCTTTTCCCATTGTGTAAACAATAGGGGTGAATTTTTGTTCGGTGACAACTTCACTCAACAGCCTGTTTGTAAAACATTAAGCAAAACAATGTGAAGATCTGGCTTCCAGGATAATTCTGTTCTGAGATCAAATCAAAAAGAAAACAACCCCAAACCTCCAAATTAAATTGGGTCTCTCTTAAATTGGTAATAATCCCTCTCACCCCCACACTCAAAGTGGTGTCTCTCTCTCTGCAGTGTTGCTTTAGCAATCACCTCAGATTTCTGCTTCATTTTGGA